AAAAAGTCATAGTATAGCATGGCATAAAAAGTCAAAATATAGTAAGTCAAAAAGTCATAAAAAAGTCATAGTATAGCAAGGCATAAAAAGTCAAAAAAGTCTAGTTAGAAGTATTAAAGTCATGCAAAAAAGTCATAGTATCAGCTAAGGTCATGAAAAGTCATGAAAAAAAGTCATAGTTTAGCAAGGCATAAAAGTCATGAAAAATGCATAATATAGCAAGGCATGAAAAGTCATGAAAAACAGTCATATTAGTCATAGCATAAGCCATAAAAAATCATAGTATAGCAAGTCATAAAAGTCATAAAAAAGTCATAGTTATAGCGGCATAAAAGCATAAAAAAGTCATAGTACTAGCATGGCAATTAAAAAAAGTCATAAAAAGTCTATAGTATCGGATGAAAGTTCATTGAAAGCTGATGTGCATAAAAAGTCATAGTATAGCAAGTATAAAAAGTCATTGAAAAAAGTCATAGTATAGCCAAAGGATGAAAAGTATCATTGAAAAAGTCATAGTATAGCATTGGCCATTAAAAAAAGTCATCATATATAGTAAGTCATAAAAGGTCATTAAAAAGTCATAAGTATAGCAAGGCATATAAAAAGTCATTAAAACATGCATTTTACAAAAAGGCATAAAAAGTCATAGTTGTCAAAGTGGCATTGAAAAAGTCTATAAAAAGTCATAGCTATAGCAATGGCACTAAAAAAGTCATGAAAAGTCATAGTTACTAGCAAGGATGAAAAAGTCAGAAAAAAATCATAGTATGTGCATGGCATAAAAAGTCAGTAGAGTTAAAAAAGTTCATTTAAAAGGAAGGTCATAAGTAATAGTGTAAGTGCATAAAAAAGTCATAGCATAGAAGCAGAAAAAATCATAAAAAAAGTCAAAAAAAGTCATAGTATAGCAAGTCATGAAAAAGTCAAAAAAATCATAGTAATAGCAGGCATAAAAAGTTCATAGTATTAGAAGTCATGGAGAGTAAAAGGGGTATTAGAAGCATAATAATAGATTCATATAAAATATAGTCAAGGCATAGTCTAAAAGTCATAAAAAATCATAGTATCAAGGCATAAAAGCGCATAAAAAGTCATAGTCTAGTATAGAGGTCATAAAAAAGTCATAAAAAAGTCATGTTATAGCAAGCATGAAAAATGAAAAGATAGTATAGCATTGCATAAAAGTCAAAAAAGTCATAGTTATTAGCAAAATAAAATCATAAAAAAGTTATAGTTATAGCAAGCATTAAAAAGAATAGTAGAGCATGCATAAAAGGATCATAAAAATCATCATAGGTATAGCAAGGCATAAAAATCATGAAAAAAGTCATAGTATAATTTCAAAGCATAAAGTCTTAGATAACAGTAATAGAACAGGCACTCAAAAAAAGTCACAAAAGAAGTAAGCTCATAAAAAAGTCATAAAAAAGTCATAGTTATAGCAGGCAAAAAAGTCATAAAAAAGTTCATAGTATAGAGCTAAGGTAAAGCCAAAAAAAGTCTATAAGGATAAAAAGTCAATAAAGTTGTAGCAAGGCATAAAAGATCATAGTATAGTAAGTCATAAAAAGTCATAAAACAAAGTCAGATTATGGAATTAACAAGTCATCAAAAGTCAAAGTTCATGAGTAAAAAGTCATAAAAAAAGTTTCATAGTATAGGGCAGCATGAAAAAGTCATGAAAAAGTCATAGATAAGCCAAGCAAAAAAGTCATTAAAAAAGTTTGTATAAGCAGGCATAAAAAGTCATAGAAATCATAAGTTCATAAAAAGCTCATAGTATAGCATGGCAAACAAAAAAGTCATTAAAAAGTATCAAGGATATTACAAGGCATAAAAAGTCATGTATAGTAAGTCATAAAAAAGTCATTAAAAAAGTAATAGTATTAGCATGGCATAAAAAGTCATAGTATAGTAAGTCATAAAAAGTCATGAAAAAGTCATAGTATAGCAAGGGATAAAAAGTCATAGTATAGCAAGATATAAAAAGTCATGAAAAAGTCATAGTATAGCAAGGCATAAAAAGTCATGAAAAAGTCATAGTATAGCAAGGCATAAAAAGTCATAGTATAGTAAGTCATAAAAAAGTCATAGTATAGCAAGGCATAAAAAGTCATAAAAAGTCATAAAAAAGTCATAGTATAGCAAGGCATAAAAAGTCATAAAAAAGTCATAGTATAGCAAGGGATAAAAAGTAATAGTATAGCATGGCATAAAAAGTCAAAAAAGTCATAGTATAGCATGGCATAAAAAGTCCAAAAAAAGTCATAGTATAGCAAGGGATAAAAAGTCATAAAAAAGTCATAGTATAGCAAGGCATAAAAAGTCCAAAAAAAGTCATAGTATAGCAAGGCATAAAAAGTCATAAAAAAGTCATAGTATAGCAAGGCATAAAAAGTCATAGTATAGCAAGGCATAAAAAGTCATAAAAAAGTCATAGTATAGCAAGGCATAAAAAGTCATAGTATAGTAAGTCATAAAAAGTCATAAAAAAGTCATAGTATAGCAAGGCATGAAAAGTCATGAAAAAGTCATAGTATAGCAAAGCATAAAAAGTCATTAAAAAGTCATAGTATAGCATGGCATAAAAAGTCATAGTAAATTAAGTCATAAAAAGCCATAGTATAGCATGGCATAAAAAGTCATAAAAAGTCATTAAAAAATCAGTATAGCAAGGCATATAAAGGCATAAAATTAAAAAAAAACGTCATAGTATAGTACGGCATAAAAATCAAAAAAGCGTTATAATACAGTAGGGCATAAAATGTTTGAAAAACGTCATAGTATAAAAAGACAAAAAAATTAAGTTTTTTGCCTTTTTACACTACGCTTCATTATAATAAGGCCTAAAAAGTAAAAAAAAACAACCTAATAGTATATTAAGGCATAACAAGTTACAAAAACATTACATTATAATCAGGCATAAACGTCCTCGTATGCTGAGGCCTAAAAAGTTAAACAAAATGTTATAGTATACTAGGGCATAAAAAGTTTTTTAAAAAAGGCATAGTATAATACATCATAAAAAAAAAAAATTCACAGTACCGTATGGCAAAAAATGTACATAGTACAGTAGTAAGGCATAAAAAGTCCTAAAAACATCATAGTCTAGCTTAGTCTTGAGCTCTGGAGCTTAAACAGAAACATCTCACACACTGCTCTAAAAAATATGTAGATGTTATTTTACAAAATATATGTCAGTATAGTAAGGCAAAAAAAAAATTGTACTATAGATGATGATGGATGAGTAAGAAGTTACGATAGTGTGTGTCAATAAAAGAAATTATTAACTTTAACACAATGAAATGGTCCAATTGTAAGGTTTTGGATGCATCAATTTTCATTTATTAACCTGGTGATAAGAAAATATTTCATTCCAGTAGTCACAACCAAATGGGATTAGAACTTATACAAGTAACAGAATTGTGCAAAATTGTGTGCAACAATTGCCTGATCTACACAATGAGTGAAGAAAAGTCTGCAGTTGGTTGGATATACAGACATGACTGTACAATGTACGGAAAGGTATTTTTAAGTGCCTTATTATGGGAGACACAAATAAATAACAGAGGAATAATGAGGAGTGTGTTTTAGTATTCAAAAGTGTGTAGCTACTGAACAGAGGTAATAAGAGCCTTTACCAACATGCAGGAAAGTACATGGTTACTATATTAAATCTAACATTATGTTCAAATCAACAAAAAGTCATTAAAATGCTGGAACAATGGTGTTTGAGGTTTGTTTCTTACATAAACAGTCAACGTTTCATATTTTACCTTTAAAACATTACCGTACCAGTGTCCCGTACAGCAAAAAAGACAGAAGATATTTAAATTTGTTGCATAGCGTAAAGAGAAAAGTGTTATACATAGTGTAATTGCCAAGTTTCAAAATGCCAATCTTCTCTTACTTCCTCTGTAAATTGTTAACCCTTGGTCAAATCGTTTCATTCCAGATCTACGTAATTATCTACGTCCACATCTGCAGAGTCCTCCAGCAGTTCCTCCAGAACTAGCTGATTCTGTCCAATGTCCTCAAACTGGGTCAACAGCTCTCGCTGGACTGTTGGGATGGTCTTATATTCAGCAGATGGTGCTGGGCCTACATCTACAGGCTGCAGCGTGACACGGGGGATGTCTTTAGGAGGTGTAGCGCCCTTGCTTCTCTGGTTGAGAGTGTTACTTATCTGGTCCATGTCAATTTGAAGCATCTCATAACTGGGATGACTGACAGTGAATGATAGCGCTGACCGGCAGGACCCATGGCAGGCTCGCAGCTTCATGTCAATGTCCACCTGGTAACATAAGCAATATCGTGAGGACTGGTAATGCCACAACAAATAACAAAAACACAAACTATCCGTAAAGAAGCAGGAAGCCCAAAACAAAATAGTACAAAGAACCGCAATGTACCAGTTAAGATATGAAGCAGTTTTACTGAATAACCAATAGAGAAGTAAACCAGAGGCAAGAATTGATGTGTTTCTTTAAATAGCTATAGCTTCTTATTTTTGACTTGTTGAATTTGTGGTATTTGACAAATTAGCTGAATATCTTTCACACAATGATCAGGATCAAACCTTATTTAGATTCAGGAAGTTTTTAGATAAATATTTATTACATTTGAGGACAAAATTACAGTCGAGCAGGAAGGGAATATAAAGCTTGATGTCATCAGCATAGACATGAACCCTTATGTCAAATTCTGTTCATGGTGAATGTTGCCAAGCATGTACAAGAAAAAAGCAGTGTTCATATGTTTGTTTTTCGTTTTGCTCCAATGAAAGGATTAACAAAACCATTTAAACAATTGCAATAACAATGATGCCAACATTATTCTCAAAACAATGCATCAGAATATTGACATATGTGATGTCAAACAGTGCATGGATTGAGGAATAAATCTTTCTTTGTATCTCATTTGTGAAACCTTGTTTAAGTCCTCTTACGCTCTGGTTTGGATTTTGATAATTTTCAATACGTATGTCATGATGATGATAAAATGAGGGTACTTATGCCTCACCTCAGTTCGATACAAGTCATCAATCTGTTCCTGGATGTTGCCATGCAGCTCCTTGAGTCGCTGCGACAGACTGGATGATCGTTTCCATAGCGAGGTGAGATTCCTGGCCAATCCTTCTGCGTGTTCCACAAACTTCAGCTCTGAGACTGGAGACAAAATACAGCATTATTTAGTCGGTGTTAATTTAGTAAGTCTGTCTTTATTTTGTCCAGAGCACCAAAAACAAACACAGTCAGTGAGTCTTACTGTATCTGTTGACTATGACTCTCCGGTTGGAGTTGTAGATGTGTGTCATCACTGTCATGGCCTTTTCAGCTGCATCTTCATACATCTTTGCCGACTTACACACCTTCCAGAGTTTTCCCTCCACTTTGCTCTTCATCTGCGAGATCAGACCTTGGAGTCTGCAGCCAGAGGGGCATTTCGAAACCTATGGAGAAGGACACCAGTTGATCAGATGTACCTGAGAGGCTGTTACCACAGTTGGAGAGCAATGTGCATTTGCAGAGATATCGTATTAAATGATATATGTATTAAATGTTTGCCATTTGTGATAAGTTGGTCCCAGCTGTTGAAAAGCACACTGCAATATAATGAATGGGAAAACTGAAAACTCCATATTGTAGGTTGAAAATGCCCCTTTCACATATTCTAAAATTACTTTCCCAACCTGAGGGAACAGGATTATAAACTAATCAATAGTTGCTGATAAACTGCGTTTGCATGTTTCTTACCCAGTCATCATCTGAACACAGAGGGACGTCTGATTTCACTCGACACTGTTGCTTTCTGTGTGTCCGGGTGTGACTGAGGGACTGTCGGCCATCCTTATTTTGCTGCTTCAGCCTCACACACACTGCAGAGAAAAAAACAAAACAAAAAAACAAACACCAAACGGTCAGTTCACCTTCAACCGACCTCTACACAAACATAAAACGGGATTTTTGTGCACATATTTGTTTTGTGTCGTTGGTGCAGGACTTTAATCTTCTTTTATTTATTTTTTGTAAAAGTTGACATAGACTTTAAAAGCATTACAGCATTACTGACAAACCATTTTTAATAAACTTGCTTTCATCAGAGTTTGATGCATCTTTCCTTTGGTTTTGATTTCTTTTCATTATTTGTTATTTAATGACACATTAAATAAGGGACATTGTTACTTTAAGTTGGTTAATTTACCTGAATAAACCCACCATTGATTACAGTGTACCATAAATATGTTTACAATATCTGTCAGAATATTACAAATACTGTATTTGGTGTAACAGTGAAAACAATAAAAAAGATAAATGTGGAAAATGTGTCTTAACATAATGTAAATGATTCTACAGTGACAGACAAACATGTACACAAGAGTCTTATGATAACTCACAGTTAATGGTCATTAAATGTTTTTATTTTTATATGATGTTTTTTACTTCTTCACAGGAAGATTTCAGTCACTGGTTGAACCACATTGTTAAATTCCCTAAGAGTAAATACAAATCCTCTTGTAATACTGTCCTAATTTAGGATTTACTTTTCAGAAAGTAACAGGTATTTGGTAAATATATGTGATACAGCATACAGTAGAAATTTTGTAGCAACATAATGTAAACCTTTAGCTATAATTGGCTTAAAGGGTCAAACTTTACCTTTATTTTATTATTATTTAAATTATTTAAAACTGTATATGTAATTCTTTTTAGAGCAGATGATTTAAACTGTTTCACAACAAAAAATAAACACGGGACAAAATACAGTCATTTGAAGCCCTGTACCTACACACAGATCTCTCTTTTAATTAGGTACCTTTGCAGTGATAATTTACATTTTTCCTAAGTTTTTTTTGTATCCCAATGGATAACAAAACACATTATCTGTGTTTTTGTGATTTGTAATGTTTGCTGAAATAACGCCACAAGCCACTGAAGCTGAAGTGAACATTGAATCTTTATTGATCGAGCAGAGTTCAACAAAAAAAAATGGGAGAACATCAGGTTATTCCAAGAACACTGGTTTGGTAATCCTAACACACAGGTCAATGCCGTTTACACAGTGAGTTGATGAAAAATACAAATATACACCAACACTGTTTGACTTGATTTTGAAATCCCAGAATGATTCACAGAGTCTGAAACCCCCTTTGCTTTTTGTCCTCAAATATTTATTTACCCTCTTTACGGTTACCTCTCCTGGTTTGAATCCTTTGCTTTCCTATTTTGCGACCATATTCTAAATGCGTATAAAAGTATATATTCGGTGTTATTCGACGAGTTTCCTTTACGTTCCCCTGCTCCGTATCCCATTAAAAAGTATTTGGTCGGATAAACATCCTAACAGTTTTCAGGCTGTAATTGGCCGGTTTGTACGTCACCCAGACAACTCCATTTTCAATCTCATACGGTGTGTTTTTCTCCGGGTCGTATGAGCCTTTGTAATAAATCCCATTTAAGTTAGCTGACTGGCAGTTGTTGTACCACCACCCGCCCCCGTACATCTCTGCGCAATTCTCCTCCCACTTATCGTTGTCTTTGTCAAAGGTGCTGAATTTCATACCGTTGTGGGACAGAAAAGATGCCATGTCAGACTTAGGCATCACCAGAGCGTCGCCGGCATCGCCAATGTACCCGGAAACATGCAGCGCGTAGCCCTCCTCCTCGGAACCAACCCTGATTGTGTACTCAGCACTTGCTACACCCCCTTCCCAATCCTCAAGCTCTACCTTCAGCATGATCTCACTCTGATTAGTCAACAGGTGGAGATTCTGGTTGCCTATCCAAAAATCCCCCTTGCCCTGCGCGTTAACTGAGCCGAACCCGTTGCGGTATTCGGCCCAGGTGCGGTTGAAGCTGAGCGCGCCACTCTCTCGCTGCTGGACTAATAACCACCCGCCCATTAGCCCCTCCTGCTGGCAGTAAACCTCCACTACCCTCTTGGAATCAGTGCCGCCGGGTTTGATCTTAAACAGTCCATTCGTTTCCCCTTTGAGGTGCTTCTGGTGGGCTTCAACGCAATCTGCGAACAGAGAGGGGCACACCGCAGACCGCGAGTTAGCTTTGACCGGCTGGTTCTTTGGTTGGGCTAGCTGAAACTCACTGCAGTGGTAAAACCGAAACTTTTCCGACAAAATGACTAACATCTACCCTTTCTCTAACCTATTTTGGTCAGTCTGCAGGATCTTCCGTTTTTTGTTACAAACACGGCCAAAGCTACTAATGAGGACACTAAAGTCAGGTCCTCTGTGATATTTCTGGGAATCTGGGGGGTTAACGAGATTAAGAAGACTTTACTTTGGTTAAAATAATCCATTAAATGTTTTTTTAAATCAACCAAAAATCCTCAAAAGAATCTGGACATACAGATAGAAGAGAAGATGTCTGTCTATCTGCATACAAAAACCCTTTCGTCTTTAGTTCCCACACAGTTTGTCTGATTACACATTGAGCAAAAACATCGCAATAATTGTAGATCTTAACCATTAAACACATCGCACTGACTGTGAATGTAAAAATCTTTAAGCTCTAGCCTCAAACAACAAATACTGTGTTCACCTCACACTTTTAGTATTAGGGCTGACTAGCAAGCTAGCTGATGCTTAAGCGTGCTGTCTAAATGAAGACCTTGTAGATTTTACTCCAGGTCTGATGTTTCGGTACCTTTTCCTACATAATCGGCCTGCCGCTCGAAGCGTGTGCTCTTCACACTCCGGGCGTGGAAATCAGGAATGTCGTCCTCTGCAGCGGCTGTGTGGAATGGACCGAGGTCGAACCCAAAACCAGCGCCAAATGGATCCCCGAATCCTCCTTTGGAACCTCCCGTGAGGCTTCCCTTGGTGCCGCTAGTGTGGACCGTCTTGCTGGTCAAAGATGAAGTAGAGGAGGAGGAGGAGGAGGATGCATGGCCAAGGCTAGGGAAGAAGGAGCTCATCCCTCCCCCTCTGCTGTTGTCCGCCATAGCCTGGCACTCGGGGCCTCCGTTCATCACTTCCTCCATCCGCTCCACTGGCCCTTCCTTTGTGTGGACAATGACTCTCCTGGTGCTTTTGGTGCAGGTGATGGATTTGCTGGACACGTGGTGTGTACTGGGCTGGCCGAAGCCATCAAACCCTCCACTAAACAAATCACCATCGCCGCGTCCTCCAAGCTCAGTGATGGATTTTGATGACGTGGAGGAGGAAGTGGAAGAGGAGGAGGAGGAGGAGGAGGAGGAGGAGGAACCACCAAAGGAGGATGATGATGGTAATGTTGATGTAGCTGCAGAGTAGGAAGTACCTGGGTCCTTGGAGACGGTTGCTGGGGATGTCACAGATCCTTCCTGCTCCAGGATCAGCTGGACGGTCTCCACCTGAGAAAGATGAAAACCTTCAGTATTAGTTTGCGTGGCTCTAGAAAAGGTGGAATAATTAAGGTAATAAAAAGAAGTGATGACGTCTTCGTCAGTCCTCGCCCCAGGATACACTGCATGACTTACGGGTGCATTTCCCGCTCATTCCTTTGTCTGAGTTCACACTGTATTGGTTTATGCTGTTCTTAGAGCTTCTTCTAACGTGATCGTACTTCTGCCCTCTACAACCGAGGTACGGGAGGACGACCTGGAGAAGTGGCCTTGGATAGCAGTAACAAACTAGAGTTTGAGGCCCTGGCTTGGCTGTGTGTCTGCTTTGAGGTAGACATGGTTCGCTCCCACATTTTTAACATAAAACGTGTCCAGCTTTATGACTCTGGAAGTATTAATAAGCCTCCAAGCTTTTCAAATTGTTCCTAAAACATCTTTAGAAAAGGAAAACACAGTCAACTCATACAGATGTCAGACTGGAAGTCACACCTATAACGTACAATATATCTGATATGGCAAAATAACGAAGCTTGTAATCCCGAGATAGCGGGATAAAGAAAATATTTGCAAGTATGGCCTTTCTTGGCTTCCGTATAAACACATAAGTGGTTTGTATGAATTAAAAACAATAAAGAAAATTGATTAATTAAGTAATCAGTAAAAATGTATAAAATATGTGAATTAAAACTATCAGAAAATAAGACAAGCTGAGAACAAAACCAGACAATTAGAAAGCGCATTTAAAAAGTGAAGTCAGAGAGACACTGAGGTGCAGGAATATGTTTGGCCTTAAAAACATGTGAACAGTGTGAAAACATTGGGCTTATCCTTAAACAATGCCCGACCTTCACTTGGGAAAATTCATGAATGGTGTTGAAACGTGAACGTGTTACTCACCTCAGGGAACACGTCTTCTCTCTTCTGCGCTGCCACAGAGCCGTGGCTGGACTTGTAGACGCTGTCCACGATGGCGTCCTTTAGCGGGCGGCTCTTCATCACGTACAGCGTCCCCACGGACTCGATGCGCTGAGGTGACTGGGAGTCCAGCTGGCTGACCTGGGAAATGGACGGAAACAGGAAGTGGATGGAGTGGCTTCTTACAAAATAATTCAAAACCTTCAGTAAAGATCAGGAGCTGGTGTAACAAAAAGATTTCTTAAATCTGGACTCTGACTCCTGGTTCCTCCAGTCAAAGTGCAGGTAACGTTCCTAAATAAGGGTGCGGTGGAACCACAGCGTGAGGTCTTTACCTGTTTCTCCAATGTCACGTAGCTCTCCTGGTCCACCTGGTACTCGGTGTAAGTGCTGCAGGATCCTTTGCAGGAACGGAGCTTAATGTCGATGTCCACCTGACGGAGGAGACACAGTCAGACGTGCTTCCTGTGTGTTTACACCCAGGAGTAAACCATATCACAGCGAGACGAGGTGGAAGCTAGTTGTTGATATAGCAATGGCTAAGTTTAGCTAAAGCTAATTATATTTAAATGTAATATAAATAAATTCGGTTTATTTCACGTGAGTGTAATAAAATGCTATGATGATAGACCATAAAAAACCCAGCTAAACCCCTGCTAAAGCTAAGCTAACTAGCTGAGCAGATCAACAGTAAAAAACTACCCTTAAATTACATATTAAATGCATTAAATTGTAAAAGAAATCATTATTTCTTGATTTACAAAGATACATTTAATTTGTATAATCTGCCTTCCTTTAAATAATAAACATTTTTTTTTTTTTTTTTACAATCTCAACTTGTAAACGTGAACGTGTAAATGTTGGTTTTCGTCACAGTTGCGTCTCCTTACCTCCAGCCTCTGCATCTCGACGACCTGGTCTTTGACTCGATCCTTCAGGGCGGCCAGGACCCTCAGCTGTCTGTCGATCTTGATTTTCAAGTCAGTGATTCTCTGACGCAGATTCTGGGCCAGGTCGTAGTAGCTGTTGTCGCCACCTGGTGGAATATATATATATATATATATATATTATTTCATAATTTTCATTATTATTTTAAGAGAAACACTAAATGTAAACCTCCTTTTTAAATACTATGTATTTCAGTATAAATCAACAACATTGCATACATGACTGATGAAAATGTTTTTTAGATTACTTCAGGTACAAATGTTTTAAGTTGTCTGTATTTGGGTTTAAGTTGAACCTCCCGCTCACACACACTAACCAGACTCAATGGTGAGTTTGTCCTTCAGGTAGTCGTAGGTCTGTTTGGACACCGTGTCAGCAGAGCGGTGCTTGGCCTTGTACTGATCCAGGAGGTTACGGATCTTCTCGATCCTCTTGAGCATGCTGTGGTCGTATTTATCCATCAGACCCTGGATCCTGCAGCCTGACGGGCATTTAGAGCCCTGATGGAGGACAGAATAGAGAGAGGGAGAGGCTGCGTTTAGAGGCCGGACTTTTAAATCATTAAGATTGGAGCTCTGGCAAAATGTGGTGAACTTTGTTGATTTGTAGAAGACGCAGGACAAGATAAGAAAGAAGCTGTTTACCCATTCATCGTCTGTGCAGAAAGGCCACTCCCTCTGAGTGGAACATTTCTCAGACCTGGTGCCGTGCTCCACCGGACGATTTCCTCTGGGGTCAATCTTTACGGCCTAGAGTGAGAGAGACAGAAATCAGTGACGGTGCAGAGGTCCAGGGCCTTGTTGAACACGGGTCGCAGTTCTTATGGGCCAAATGCAAAAACATTGACACCTTTAATTAATAATTAAATAATCAATAATTAAAATAATTAATTTAATTTAAAAAATGTTTTTCATAAGTGGAAATTGTCATTCAAACACATATCATAAGCTGGACTGAAACAATTCCATTTTCTAAGACCATGTGAGTTTGGGTGGATTCTCTTCTTGAATTTAAATATGTAGTCTAACAAAAGTAAGTAAATGGGAAAATAAGTACTATTTTGACATAAATTTAGACAAATGTTATTATAAGGCTGTGTATTATTTAGGTTTATAAACTGATCATTAATAATAATAATTATTATTATTATAATAATAAAGTTTATTTGTATAGCACTTATATAGCACAGTAAAGGGGGAATTAACAAACAGCAATTAAAACAAAAGAAAAACAAACATCATATTTCTGTATAATGGGAGAATAAAACACAACATATCAAACGTTCATAAAGCTGTCAGATAAAAGAAGAGAGGGAGGAGATTATAAATATTAACTTCTCCCCGCTCCTTTTCAGCCATGCCATGTTTGCTGGTTGTTCTCTGAGAATATGGTAAAGTCTATTGGTTACTATTTTTTGCTGTTTTTTAATTTTCATTAGTATTTTTATTTCATACAGTCACTCTATCGGAATTAAGTAAAAAAACAAAAGTCACGCTGCTGCCTCCATATTATTTTGCGAGAGAAGTAAGCATGGCTTATAGTAAGAATAACCAAAATTATGAGAGTAAGATGCTGTATTAAACTATTTAAAAAATGTATTATTATAATTCTTTATTATTATAATCGTTGTTATTAATAAAAGCAGCTAAACAGGGCAGATGATTAGATTAGATTACTTAATGGCCATTTTTATTGGCCAATTTCTATGTTTTAGCATAAAATTTCTTTAGTTTTAGAATAAAAGTTATGTTTTTATGTTTTAGCATAAAAACGTCCATAAAAGACTTTCCTTCCAATCCTTGCTTACAAAAAATTAGTCGTTAAAATAAATTTGGAAACATAGTTCTGTGAACAAAGTTTCCATTGTTTCCACAAGTTAGGTCGGATATCGTTGATATAAAATGGAATATAAAATGTTTTAATGAATAAAAAATGTAATTGTGATCTGATGTGAAACTCACCTGAATTGAAGCCACACAAATTAAACCCAGACAGACGAGCGCGTTGAGTCGTTCCATCTTTGTCTCTGCTGTCCTTCCTCTGAGTGAACGCTGCTTGTCGAATGCTTCTCCGACGCTGCTGTCGGATCATTTGAAGGCTCCTGGTTCAGTCTGACAAACCGGTGACTCATCAGCGTTTGGTAACAACATCCGTCAGGTCAAATCAGAGTTGAGTAACTTCTGCTGCGGACAGCCGATCGATGTGGAGGCTGTTTGTCGTACTGTGTGTGACAAAGTACACACACTCCCTGAACTCAGACTCAGATCAGTTCAGTTGCTGCAGGATTTACTGGCATTTGCTACAGAATGTTTTCTCAGGTTAAACAGTGACAGGCGGCGCTGACAGTAAAAATTATTATGAGTCATTGAGTAATTACTCAAATGAATCAATGCAATAGTAAATAATAATGACTCAATTATTCTTAGTCACTATTTGTGATGTTTTAACTCAGAAAATGTAAAAACATTTGTATGAAAACAGATGGAACTGTTTTAATTTTCATGTGATGTCCCTCTCTTTGCCCTTATTTCCTGTCTCTCTCTCTCTCTCTCACCTGTCAACTGCCAATTAAAGGAAAAATGGCAAATAAATTGATAAAATAACAATAATCAAAACAATAACAAAACAGGAGATGCTTAGCACAAAGACTGGAAATAAGATGAACCAGCCTGGTTATGTTTGAACAAAGTCTCACTAATTTACACATTATATCTTACTAGTGTAAAAACAACAATATTTTATTTTTGTACATTTTGCCATTAAATGAAATACTTTTTTATTGCTGTTTAAACTGGAAAAGATACGGGAGTTTACTAAACATTAGAGAAACTACAGCTCAAAAATGAACATGTTGTACTGTTTGTTTAATCCTTACAAAAGTCAAATTGTTAATGATGATAGCATTAATAATAATAACAATAATAATAATAATAGTTGTGGTTTTATGAGGCGGTTTATGGCTGTAGCTTCATAATTATTAGACTCTCCACAAGACACAACATATTTCCCTAAATGCTATTTAATATAATGAGGTTTATCTTCCACCCACAATTTGGATGCTAGCTTGTGTTTTTCTGCTTACACTTACACATGAATCATTCAAATAAAAACACTAAAAATAAACAAAAAAAGCATAAATCCAATACAGCAGTTATCATCAATACAAACATTTACAAGGTCTGTAGAAATGAGTGTTTTTAACTTGTAGGTTGTAAACAGCAGTGAATCAATATAAATATAAATTAATATTAATATAAATTAAGGCGAATCCTAAAAACAGTGTGACAGATATCCAGTCTTATTTCTTATATTTCAAATTTAATCTTGACATTAATCCAACAGCAACTTTGAGCCAAGCTGTGAAGCAATTATAGTTTTTTCTGGTGGGTTTGGGACAAAATGTCATTTCCAGGTAATCACACCAACCTTGTGAGGACTTCCAGTCGGGATTTGTGGACTCTGGGGTTTTTTTCCCCACCCCCAACATTGGAGGCTGTCGATGGGTTACATGTGGGTGAGGGTGAGGCGGCTGGGGAGGATGCAGCAGCAGCAGCAGCAGCAGCGCCACCTGGTGGTAAAATAACTGATCACATGTGAGTCATCTTCAGTATAAAGCTGCAGTCTGTCAGTGTTAATTTACTTCTCTTGTTGCCACTATGTGACGTGAAATCCAAACGACTACATTTCCATTAGCAGCTTGTATGTTAAACATTCACCATACAGTTGTTTATAATCAGTGTATATTATAACAGCTCATTTCTATTGGCAGATGAGTAATTGTTCACTTACCAGCAGCAAATGGACACTTCTATTTATCACAATTAAGCAACAGTCACACTTAAAACAAGAATTTATGAAAAGATTAAATGGACTCTGATTAACCTTTTATGACAAAAAGAACCAGTTTAATTTGTTATTCGGTTTACACTCAAAACTAGTAACAATCGAGTAATATTAAATATGTTGTTTGTTATTTCATTTTGACGTTTGTTAGACTTTTTAAATATCGTCACATTAATTAAATTCACACACTAATTGGCAATAATATGTAAATCAAAGGCACTTGCTTCACACATAATATTACTGAGGAGCCATTTAACATGGTTTGTGTTTCTGAACAGAAATGGAGCAGTGATAAACAGGAGAACACCAACAGGTGCTTTCAGTCACTTATTAGTGGAAGACACAGTCATTTGATAATAGTATCATGTGGAGTCCATTGCAAACTGTTGGACAACGTCTTCATTTCCAACATTAAAACTAATTTACGTTAGGTATGTTTGTTTCCGTTTGTTCACTGCCCGGTTATGAACTCCTCACCAATGAGCCAGCTGACCTCTTCTCTGCCTGTAGAGACAACAAGATAAATAAATGAGAGAACTGGATAACTCTGTTTTCATGGTTTTAGCTTCACTTCTGAAACTGCTATAGCTAGCAGCTAGCCCCCTCTGTTGGCCAAAACGAGCACAAGTTAAACGTCTGGTCACTCTAATACAAGATACAAATGTGGGGTTCAGTGTCTTGCCCAAGGAAAAAAGAGCCTGGAATTGAACTGGCAACCCTGCCGTCAGTGGCAGCTTCAACAGCTCTGATCCACAGTGTCTTTCTTGTGTGTTAGTCGGTGGTTTGTGAGATGCTGCAGGAGCCTGAAGCTCCTCTGGCAGTGTTCACATGCAAACGGCCTCTCGTCTGTGTGGATGCGCATGTGTTTGGTGAGGTTACTCTTGTGGTTGAATTGCTTCCCGCAGTCTTTACAGTGAAAGGGTTTCTCCCCGGAGTGGATCAGCTGGTGCTTCTTCAAGTTCGACGCCTGGGAGAAGCACTTGCCGCACTGGGAGCAGCGGTGCGGTTTCTCCGACGTCTCTTCGCAGTCGTGATTGGTCAGCTCCGCCAGCTCGGCGAACTCCTGCCCGCACAGGGAGCAGCGCGGCGGTTTCACCTTGTGGCTGACCTGGTGAGCTTTCAGTGTGGACAGGTGGGAGTAGCCTTTCCCGCACAAGTCGCAGGTGTACGGTTTCTCCCCCGTGTGGCCGCGCTCATGGATGACGAGATGCTGCAGGAGGCGGCAGCCCTTGCCGCAGTAAGAGCAGCTGTACGGTTTCTCCCCGGTGTGTATGATCTGGTGCTTCTTCAGGTTGTTCTTGTCACTGAAGGCCTTGTGGCACAGCGTGCATTTGAAGGGCTTCTCTCCGGTGTGGGTGTACTGGTGCGCCGCCAGCGACACCCGGATTCGAAACCGCTTCGAGCACAGCGTGCACTGGTACGGTTTCTCCCCCGTGTGGATGCGTTCGTGCTGCTTCAGCTTCACCAGCTGCTTGAAGCTTTTGGCGCAGTGGCTGCAGCTGTGCGGTCTCTCCTCAGAGTGACTGATCATGTGGATTTTGAGGTCTCCCCTCCTGGCGCAGGTCTTGCCACATTTCTCACATGTAAACTGTTTCTCCTTAGTGTGGATCAGCTGGTGCTCCTTCAGAGTTCCTTCCCTCCCAAACTGCTTTCCACACACCTTGCAGCTGAAAGCTTTCTCCCCAGTGTGGGTGAGTATGTGCTGTCGGAGGGTGTGCAACAAGTAGAAGCTCTTATTGCACTGTGTGCAGGTGTGACATCTTTTCCGTGGAGTCTCATCAACTGTTTCTTTGCCCTCGCGGTTCTCTGTGTTTTCTTTATGAACGCGTACATGCAGCTTCAAGTGCCGTTTAGTGCGAAACGTCAGGCTGCATCTCCTGCATGAAAAGGTCTCCTGCTCTGTCTGTTCGGACTCTGTCTGGCTCAGTTTACCTCCCGTCATGCTGCAGTGATGCCGCTGGTGTCTGACCAAGTTGCTCCTCCTCACGAAGGATTTCCCACAGTGCTCGCAGTGGAGAGATCGGGGCTCGGACACACTTTCCTGCAGGTTCTCTGCTCCATTTTCATTTGTCACTGACACAGGAGACGGGATGGTAGCTTTAAAAAAAAGAGAAAAGGGGGAAACACACAGTTAAAATACTTTTTTTCCCCCAGGGAGGACAGATGGAAAGAGAAAGAAGTTAGTGAGAAAAGCAAACGTGTACTTATCTTCTATGAATATCTTGAATATTTATAGTTTTTAGTTAGAACAAGTAGTTTTGGTTTAGATCTTTAATTTTACAGAAACACTTACCTCCGGGCTCAGTCATTCCTCCATCTTCAGTCTCTTCCTCTGCCTCAGTGCCACGTTGCTCCGGTGTGGAGATGCATTTCCGTCTACATTGTGACTTTGCGTTGGGGCCCTCTCCTTCCTCCTGAAACACCTCTGAGTCACTGCTGGCATCACTCAGCATGGCTGATTTGAGGGATTCTGGTAGTTTGTAGTCCTGTATGAGCCACGTCACTCCATCTGAGCTGCCGCCATCCTCCTGAAACTCTAACAGTGTCCCATCAGCCCCTGCGTGACTTGGCTGAAGTTCTTTACCTTTAGCTTCCTCAGAGCTGAGGTCGCTGTCGTCGCACTCCGACGCTTTTTCTTCTTTACATAAATTGATATCTGCTCCGAGGTCAGTGTGGAACCACTCCTGGTGCTGATCCAGCTCCGAGTTTATCTGCCATGAATCATCAGAGTCGCTATCTGCCTCCAGCTGCTCATCCTCCTCTTTTAACACGACCTCGATGCTGGCGTAACTCTGCTCTGCTGCCTGACGGACGATGTGACCGTTTGGTCCTGGAGTTTTCATACAGTCCACCAGGCGGACAGAGACCTCCTTCAGAGCGAGGACCGAGGGCTCGCCTGAGGATCCTGGAGGCAAAACGTGTTCATTTACAAAACACAATTCACACATTGTCGCAGTTTCAAAGAGTTTCACAGCTTACGTAAAACGGAAACACTAGGGCTGCTCGGTTGTTGCAAAAATCATAATCAAGGTTATTTTGATCAATATTGAGATCACGATTATTATTATTATAACATGATTTCTCATTGACACCACAGATTTATTGAACTGAAAAAAACTTGGTCTTTTTAACAGTGGACTTTCTTCAAATTTAAATGCAATTCAATGGGGAAATGAGTAAAAAAATGTATTTTAAAAATTAGATAAATAAAAAATAATATATAATAACTTAATTTATACAATTAAATGTATAATATAACAATAAATTAGATCAAAATAAAGAAGATGAACTGTGTTGTAACATTAGTGTACTTCCACAACCTACTGAAAAGTACTCAACATATATTCAGTATAGAAAAATAATAAGTGAGACCAAGATAAATGAGATCAAACATGTTGTAGTGCACTGCACCAACATACATTCAACATGTTGGTAAACTATATTCAACAACAACAGTGATTGGTCAGTTTAGGCCACTTCTGTTTTCTCCTACAAGTTTCTGATGCTGGTAGAAATTGCTGACACTGCAGACACCAGGTAAAGTTAAAGAAAAGACTCTAATCTGCTGCTTTTCAGAAACACAACCTGTGAAGTCATCACCATGATCTGACAAGAACTGATCATCCATCCAGAGCAAAAACCAAACAAACCTCATCTGCCTCCGTCAGCTGCAGAGAGTGAACATGTGATGTTTAGTTTGAGGCGGTTTGGTCTTGGCAGCTGCTCACCTTCTGGATCCTGCTTCACGACTGGTCTCGGGTCTGCCGGTGTTTTCATAAAGTCCATCAGGTGGACCGACGGCTGCTTGGAGCGAGACAGAGACAGGCTGCTGGTGGACGCCGCCATGATGCTCTCAGTCGCTTCAGTCGGTCAATGGACAAACCAACGAAACTAAAACACATCAGATTAACATTAAAACGTGTAAATAACAATAAAAAAATCACAGAGTGACAGACTGTGGCGAGTTTTCCCACATCGAAATAATGTGATTTTTGTTATGAATTAGCTATTTTGGTTAGCTCTTTGTTTTGATAACATGCCTTCGGTCTGTCCTCGATGCTAACATTAGCTCCACACAGCTCCTGCCCCACTTTAATCTCTTATCTTTTGGGGTTAAAGCAAATTGTAGCTACGCTTAAGTGAAATATCTCCATTACTTACCAAACGGAGTCCAATCATGTCTGTTCCCGGGCTAACGTTTGAGCTAAGCTGCTGCTGAAGACGAAACCCGGCTCGTTTAAGCGTAATAAATAAATTCCACTTGTGTGTTTCGTGTTTTTTTTAGTTATAAAACGAGCTTCTCTTCCTTTCATGGCGGTACATTTGAAAGCGAAGCTACGAAGAGCTAATTGTACGAGAGGAGAGAAAACTCCTGATTTGTTTGTTTTTCTTTCCGGGTTTAGTTGACGGACGTGTTCCGGTTAACCAATGGGCAAACGAGAGAAAGGAGAAGAGGCGGGATGATTTGAAGATTTAGCGCCAATCGTGTTGCCGCCTGGTCGCAAGTAGACGGCAGCCCATGTAGGACAAAAATATAAGAAACCGCGTTTTCCTAAAACCTCCCGGTTTTATTTGTTTAATTTCGCGTTTATTAATGTCCGTTTAAAATTACATTTATTAACTTGTCTATCATTAATTTTATGTTTCTTCTATGATAACTTTTGAGTAGTGTGATGTTTTTTGTTTTTTCCTCATGTACAAGTAAATTTTTTAGCTACTTGAACTTTATTTGATTATCCTAATTCCATGGTACTTTTTTCTGTGTATTCTATTTATGTATTCATTCTATAATTTACATCTACAACATTTGAGAAGAGAATATTGTACTTTTTAATTCCACTACATTTATAGTTACATTTTACATTAAGATTTTACACACAAAACATATGATACATTTATATAGTGAGAGGTTTTGTTATAATTCAAATTGCCCAACACTATATACATTTGGTACTTTTACTTCAGTGTCAAAACAGTCTTAATTCTTCTTCTGCTCTTCCTCAGTTTTATGTAAAGAAGATTTATGATTTTGAGAATTGACCTACAATTGGCATAGGCTACTTGTTTAGAGTAAAATGAGATAAGAGAAACAGAGTATTGATATCACGCTGGGATTTTATGTCACAGCAGGAAAAGTAAAACAATAAACTTTAAATAACCAGAATATTATATACATGTACATCTACTATATGTAGCATAAAGTGTAGAAAAATATTAAACCTGTAAAAAAATAAACACACAGGAAACTGAGAAGAACAAAAACAGATTCAATACACCTTGGATGTGCAAAGACAAAAATAAGAAATGAAAGAAAATAAAACAAACTGCAAGAAAGATGTGCATAAAATTACACAGTGAAAAAAACAAAGTAAAAGTTAATTAAACTTATGTACTATACATCTCTGTCCTCTGTGTATCTCATCTGTATTCGCCACTAGATGGAGCCACATGATAAGTTTGTGTCCTCTGCAGCTGTCGTCATCGTCACACTGGGTCTCATTGAACTGATGTGATCATTAAAAAAGGAAAGTTTAGCTTCAGGACACACTGTTTAAAAAAATACTGTGAGAAAAGCTGCGTGTTTGATTTGTAAATGTGCAGGAACTGGCTGTGGTGAAGCATTAACACAACGTACATGTCAGTGTTCACACTGAAACAAAGCATCTGTCCATCAGTGTTAACAGCTCAGCGTGACACAAATATTTCTGTGCTCAGATAAAAAAGAAAAAAAAAAGAAGAAGCCTGAAATAGATTCTGAGCCTCAGAGAGAAAAGACATCCTGCGGGTCCTCAGGCTGATAGCGGATAAAGATTCAAACAATCACTATAAAACTGCAAGACCGATGACACACACACTTGAGCACAAACACACACACACATATACATATAGATACATACGCCCACGAACACACAAATCCACAGACTGGATCCTTTGATAATTTGCTCTTTTGAAGATGGACATTTTTTCAAGTGCCTTTGAAGTGACTTTTCCTGATGTTGTTGGTTTGTGAGCCTCAGTTAATTGACTCAAATTCAAAGTTTCCCCCTTTTCTTTGTACATAACAGATGAACGTACAGTATGATGTAGAATCGCTGGAATCGGCCCGGGCACGGGGAGTGAAGAGCCACATCAGTGTGTCTTTAATCCTCTGAGCTGCTGTTACACTTACAACGACCTCCGAGGCAGCTTGAGTGCTCACTTCCTGTTTTCCGGTTGGTTTGCACTTCAACAACACATCAAGTCACATTTCAAATGAGTGTGCTGGTGCAGAAAAGCTCCTAAAACCTGGTCTAATCGTAATCACAGTACAGTATGTAATCCAGGTGGGGGAGGTTCATTATCTTTTCTTTTGAATTATTTTGGTTTTTTGCTTGAAGCAGTCAAATATTAAATTATATTAGTGTAAAATATGAAAAAAATGATGCACATTCTCAGATCTACTTTTACAGAAATGTCAATTTTCTTGTCATACACTACAGGCTACACCTGTGGAACTATTTTTCCACAGGAGAATGCATAATTTGTCTAAAAAAATCGGAATCATCATTAAAACTAGAATTATCTCCTTGTGGTTGTATCCCTGCGCCACTAGTTTCGGGTTACATCCCTGTTTACCAAGAGTCATTTAAAACATTAACCATTTGTCTGAAACATAAACATGTCCTTGTGTCTTTAAACCCCCAAATTCTCAGAAATACTATTGAGGATATGACCGTGGCTTCCTCGGTGGTAGCTGTGGTCGTGGGTCGTCCCTGTTGTGAAACCACTGGTCACATTGTTCGACTGCAGAGCTGGTTGTGTAAGGGTTAAAATATACTGTAGCACCATTTGCTTTAAATCTGGCTTTAAGAATGTTGAATGTTGGAGATGAAGCGTTCCACATTTATTTTCCTCATCGGGCCCTTTAGAAATTATGATGTTTTTGATGTTGATGTGGACGGTATTTACACCTCAGAAAACTAGTAATTATTGTAACTCCCACATGACATGAATGCAGCGTGCCGTATTCAGAACGTGTCACCAACGCAGCAGCAGGGCTGAAAAAGAAAACCTGAACATGAAATGACTGAAGTCGCCCAAATGACTCCAACAGCTTCCTCGTGTTTTTGAAAGGTTTGATGAAGGACTTGATGATGTGTTGATAGTTTCTCCTGAACACTGAGGTAAATCCATTCACCTTGTATATAGTTCTGCTGCATTTATGGCTTCTGAGAAAAGAAAACATCTTCTTCAAATGATTCATATCTACATCTAATTTTTATTTTTCATTTCAGTCCTGTCCTCTGGAGCAGATTGGGACATAGAGAATCCTGCCTTGTGGTATCAGTGCACTGCACTCTTTCATTTTCTTTAAGCTACCACAATCAATCACAGTAAACACGAAGCCTTTATTTGCTTTGTAGAGTTTCTGATTCATTTCTTTGACAGGCAGCGGAGCAAAATTAATGCAGCAAAATTGGACAGAGATAAGATTTTGTGCTGATGGTGGCACTTTATTATTCATCCTATAAGGACATGAACAAATGAACCAAATCATCTGATAGTTGTTTTCACTCAGAACCCAAAATGTCAACCTCATGATGAAACAGTCAGGGAATCGTCGGTAGAATTCATCCTCTTGGAACAGTCAATGCTTATGCCAAAGTTTGTGCACATCCATCCAAAATTTATCATCTAGGGGCCGTGAATGTGAGGAGCAAATTTCATGACAATCCTTCCAGTGGCTGTCAAGATATTTCACTCTGAGCCTTATGGTGGCGCAAGAGGAAAAGGTCAGGGCATCACCAAACTCACCGGGATTCAACCTCTGGGGACCATGAATGTCTGAGCCAGAATTCATGACAATCCTTCCAATAGTTGTTGAGATATTTCAATATGGACCAAAGTGACTCATCACTGGCCTTTCCATCCGTAGAGCTATGTTGCTAGCATAGCTGAAGAGCTGGTTGTTAGCAGCAGCTAAGCTAAGCTCATTGTCTTTTTCTCCACAGTCATCAAACAAACACCACTGGACGAGTTTGGGAGCACGTGTAAAGGACAGAGGTAAAACTTTCTGTAAGACTCTCCCTGGGACGCTGATCCAGTTCTGCATTTCACTCAAAAATCTGCATTCATCACTTCCTGCGTGGAGCAGATTTCCCATCGGCGTAAACACCACACACCTAAATCTCTTTGGCAAACAGACCGGCTCTCCTGCGTCTCAATTAGAGAGGATGATGTTTTAGTCACAGCCCCAGCTGGTGAGTTCACTTTTATAGAAAACTCTTGGAACACGTTGATGTAAAACACAAGGAAGCTCCAGTTCACCTCATTGTGTTCTGTCTTCCAAACTTCAGATTATGAGTATTTTTTAGCTAATTTTCTGATACTAACGTTTCAGAACCAAAATGATAAAACTATAAACTGGCCAGAATATAAACATATTTTCTCTAGAGGATACGCTTGAAAACTTAAAGGTCACTGAATAAAAGTTGTCTCATGTACTTTTCGTTAACTTTTACTTGGAGATGTACAAAAAGTTTTCTTTCATTTACTTGCTTTGGAGCCCAGGAGGTGTCATAGATTTTTTTAATTTCATGCGCTATAAATAATAATTAGTGCCCTTGAGTTTTAATAACTTTTTGTGCCATTAGTCTCAGCTTGTTTGCGCCCCATGCTTATTATTGATTGGTTCACAGACTCAGGTACATGCATATACTTTGGTTTTGGCTGTTAAACACAACATTGAGTTTTCTTTGAGATCCCTTCAACGTATTGTTTTACTGCAAAACCTTCGATGACTCTGCAGATGTGCCTCAGGGACGGGAACCTCGTGAAGGTCGTCTTCGTCGTCCTTCTCAAACTTCCAGCTAACTCCAAAGGCATTTGATGCTCTCTATCAGAAAGCTGGAGGTAAAACAAACAGTATGATGTGAAAATCAAGAAAACAAATTAGTAATCTGATTAAATCAGTGTGATCCCTGGAGATGGGAGAGTTTTCGATGAAAACAGTTCACTATTGTCGTCCGACTCGATCACACAAACCACCAAGAGAAGAGATATTCTTCCTTTTAAAATAGAAATGTTTGAGTTCACTTTTTAGTATTCACTCTGTAAGCTGCGTCTGCAGTGGCTCAACATTTTGACCTCAATTTCACATATTCCCCAGCGAACGTTTAGAGCACACACACACAAATACACACAGGCCTTCCTCGCCCTCGGTGCAATGCAAGATTACAGAGGTTTACATCCCCATCCTCCACCATCAAAACCCTTTTACAAGTTAATACCTCAGGTGCACACAAGCTTCAACACACATGCACAAACACACACAGCTGGCAGGTCAGCATTTGCACACAAATTGCCTGGTCGGTTT